AATTTGCATACGCTAAGTATTTAAAACTTGTTCAAATCAACTTGACATTTTAACTCTGACGAAGGTCGCAGTCAGCGACCGAAAATTCAGTATACTTTTTATCTTTTTAATTGTATATAATAGATCAGTTACAACAATAAACGAAAACATGTCTTTTACTGATCGCACAACCAGCATATATATATATATATATATATATATATATATATATATATATATATATATATATATATATATATATATATATATATATATATATATATATGTTATATATATATATATATATATATATATATATATATATATATATATATATATATATATATATATATATATATATATATATATATATATATATATATATATATATATATATATATATATATATATATATATATAGTATATATATAGTATATATATAAGTATATATATAGTATATATAAGTATATATAAGTATATACTTCATCTGTGATCTTGTTAACAACTTGTGAACAGCTTATGACGTGACGCGCTTGCCGCGCGAGCAGCGAGTCAAATCGCTCCGTAAAATTATCAGTTTTCGACCCTATTTCTACGACCTTTTGGGTTAAATTTATAAAAGAATTGTGGATAAATTGTTTATCTTTGGGAAAGTGAAGTTGGTGCGGTAAAATTTTAAATATTGCTCTGTCTTTTGTTGAATTATTTTCCAAATTGCAAGAGATTTTACAACTGGTTTATGAGCACGCGCAAGCTGGACGGTTGAATTTGGCGTGCGCATACGATTACGTGATACGCTTGTGCGCGTGATTCAAAAAACGATTTTACGAACTGTGTTCGACTCGAGCGCGTGCGGAATTACGGTCATATACTGGAACAATTATATGAATAATTAGTGTCTTAATTATAACGTTTTGGAAAATACCAATGAAAATGCATAAAACCCACCCAACTTTCGCCCAAGTAGCATCATTTTGGACTGTGTGTCTCGTGGTGTCTTTCTGGCTGTCAACAAGATCTAAACCCTATATGAGCTGTCATGGAGAACGGACGTGTAGATTTTAGCTCTGAAAATTTGGCCGAATCTTTATCAGTTAAGTTTTGTGGATAATGAGGACTTGAGCATTTGTAAATCGAATGCACAAAATCCCTTAAATGTTGTAAATATCTTGTACCACTCTTTCTGCTATAAGAAAAACAAACTTAAATGGGCTGGTTTGTTGGAAGACTTAAAAGCCATCGTGCTCACTGAAGTGCATCATCATCATCAATCAATTTTATTTAAAATCAAGAACACGCTAGCCTCGCACAACTAAAAGCTGATTTACAGGAGGGGCGTGATATATAAAACAGTAGAATATATGGAATATTATATGAACCCCCCAACCTCCGCCCCCCAAGAACAAATTGAGAAAAATAAAGTCAAGTAAAGTAAATAAAGAGAGTTAACTATAATTAAGTCAACATGGTTCTAAAAGGACAGCTCCGCAATAGTACGCTTAAATTGACTGAGCGAAGTCGCTCTTTTTGCATCTAATGGAAGATTATTCCACAGCATTGATGCGCTATATTTAAAGCTTCTCTTCAAAAAATTAGTTTTTGGTTTTGGAAGTGCTAGATCCGTTTCCTGATTTCGCAAATTATGGCGTCTATTAAGTTCACTAAGTCTTACAAGGCTTTCTCTTAAACATGGCGAACAATTTTCATTAAGGATTTTATACATTAGGATACTCTTCAACTTAGCCCGCCTAACATGTAGATTATCCCATCCTAAACCTTCCAAAAGATCACTTGATCTAATCCTATCATCATATCTTGCTCCAGTGATAACCCTAGCCGCACGATTTTGTAATATTTGCAATTTATCTTTTAATATTTTATCGCATGTATCCCACAGGGGAGAGCAATAATCAAAATACGGTTGAATTAATGATTTGTATAATGTAACAAGAGAGGTCTGCGGAACGAATGGTTTAATTCTCCTCAATGCTCCTATGCCTGAACAGATCTTCCTACATATTTCTTCAATATTGATGTCAAAAGTCAATCTCTCATCAAGATCAACTCCCAAACATTTATTCGAGACAACAGGTGAAATTACGTTATTGTTCATGATAATGCTGTTGTACAATTCACCAACTTTGTTGGTCAAATTTTGTTTAGATCCTATGACAACAAGCTTAGCCTTAGAAGGATGGGATTGGAGTTTATTTACATTTAACCAATCTGTGACATTTTCTAAATCAGAGTTTATATCATTAGCCAGCGCAACAGAGTCGTACGAAGAGGCGAAAATTTGGGTATCATCTGCGTATAGACAGGGTGTTGTTGTCTTTAGACAGTTGGGTAAATCGTTGATATAAATTAGGAACAACAACGGGCCAAGTATGGAACCTTGTGGAACCCCGCAAATTATTTCACCTTTATTAGAGAGGCAGCCATTTACTTGACACTGTTGTTGCCGATTTGAGAGGTAGGATTTAAACCATGCAAGTTCAAGTTGAGAAA